CTCCACCCCCCCACAGTGTGAAAATGATATGTAGGTATAGAAATGGAGAGATGGATAGATCAGGTTCTTTATATTTACATTTTTACCTCATGGCTTTGGAACATGATCCTGCTGTCCGCTGGTTAGAAGCAGCTGATGCGACTGGCCTTTTTTGATGCCACCTGCTTAGACAGTTTCTCCTACTGAATATATTCATTATGTTCAGGCCCGCATTCCAGTTTGCACCATAATTAGTACCAAAAGTAGAAATAATATGTCTGTGACACCCATAATGACTTGAGTGATTCACAAGAATGAGGTCTTTAAACACACACCTATATGTCATCTTCAGATAGTGTCTAATGTGTCTAATGGGAAGACTTACACTTCTATCTCAATAGAGTAGGTAGTGCCAGGTAAACGTATCCAAAAAGAGTACTTAACTGAAACATTCTTTAAAAAATGTATCATTTGAATGTAGATGGCATGCGATACATGTTATGCCTTACATTTAATACATTTCAGTACACTAAGGTGTGGATCTTTGTGGCGAGGCTGTGAGGTTTCAGAGCTTCTGTAAACTGCTACTTTTGATACTGGTGTAAAGTGCCTCGCCACATTTTATAAAAGATTATGCAGGTGGAAAAACTTTATTAGCAAGTACTTTTTACAGAATGTTATTATTTTAATAATGTTTATTTATCTTAAATAAAAAATAATCTCTATACACATGTATACAGAATTAAATATATGTCATTATAAAAAGCAAATAGCAGATATTTTCTAAAATCTTTTATTTTAGGTCTGATTTGAACTGTTGATTTGTACTTTTCCCCCCAACATGTTTTTAGTACTATGGCCTTTTGACTTTCTTGGCTGGCTTTTTCTATCTTAGCCTAAACTATTTGATGCACTTTCTGAGTCTAAAGAAGTAGAACAGCAGCTTAGAGCAGTGTCCCACTGTGCACATACTCGACGGAAACAGAACACATACACGTATTACAATTTGTCGGACCAGGGGCTGTTGACTGCCAATGTAATGTAAAGATTATACTGCTCTGATAAAACAGTAGTTCATTTTTGTTAAAAGATTATTTAAATTTCCCTTTTTTTTATACGATACAATATAAACTGTCCTCCCTTTCTCTCTTTCTTTGCCTTTCAGGTGGTGAAGCTCAAGCAGATAGAGCACACTCTGAATGAGAAGAGGATTCTTCAGGCTGTCAGCTTTCCTTTTCTGGTGCGGTTAGAGTACTCGTTCAAGGTACGGAGCATTTTAGATGGTGTGCCTGTGTATACTGGCCTGTGTGTGGTTGACAGTGAGCGACTTCATAGATTTTCCTTCCATCCCTCATACCAGTTGTTATTTGTCTTTCTCAACATTTTTGAGAAGGTTGGATGACACTTTCTAGCATAACTCAACCTTAACAGTCTAGGTATTGGCTTATTTGGAATAATATCTATGGACACAGTCTGGCTGCTGAAGACTCTATTTTATTACTTCTATGTAACTATTTGTGTTTATTTTTTAAGTAATCTGGTAAATGACATGACATTTTTCAAGGATGCAAACATGGATGTTGAAGTTTAAACCTTTGTCACTTTGCGTAGTGTCAAAAAAGACTGACATAGGCCGTGATGTCAAAACTGGTGTTGTTTCAACTGAAGATCTTCCAAAATGGAGAAAATACTATTAAAATGTGATGTGAGAATCAATCATTTATTTCTAGATTTCTAGTTTTATATACTACATAGAGCAGAGATAAAATGTCATTTCGACACTCAGAATGAATCATTTAAGTTTCCTCAGTTTGAATAAACATTGTACACGTTTATCTAAAAGTGGTTTCTAAGAACCCCTTACCATCACAACACAGGCCTATTGTTTGTTTTCATAGAAATCGACTGCTATCTCTGTAACTGTAGGTAATTCCTGATGCAATAATCAGTTTACTAAACTCATCCTTATTATCACTGCCATCATCACTGACAGTAAATCTTATTAAAGGGCTGTCATCTGCATTTACAGTGTGAAATAAGCTTGATCTACCACATGCAAAATGACCATACAGACACATTCTCTCTCTTCTTCGACATTTTCACCACTCAGCTTCATCAGTGTCTGTTTGTACCCGTATAGACTAACCCAGCGGATGGCCATACTCCAATTAAAGCCTTACGCAGGTTAAGCTGTTTAGATGCACGTTGGATGCCCGGGGATTGAATATCCTTGATGCCTCAAATAAACCTATTAACAGAATATTCCTGTCCACGTGCCTTGTCCTGCACACAGATAGAAGAGACAACAACAAGCACATATTAACTCAGCTTAGTTAGATGCATCCGACAGTAAGTTGTATTTGCAGGTGTCAACCAAGAAGCAGGTTAAGAATGAAATCTTCCTTTATGATATAAAGCTACTTATTTAGCTCTGTTACAGGATCTAAAGAACATATTATTTTTTCTATGTCATCCAGTTGCCCATCTTGTGGGTGTATGCGTGTCTGTAGTGCGTTAATATGTATGTGTATGTGAGTGAGCGTCACTAACAGGTCCTCTGTCTTCCCTTCCTCAGGACAACACTAACCTCTACATGGTGATGGAGTATGTACCAGGTGGAGAGATGTTCTCCCATCTACGGAGAATTGGCAGATTTAGGTTAGTGTCTGTATATGCAATGGCGTTTACATGACATTTACAGCCGGAAGCACTTTGTAGTCGCGTAGAGGTAAATTGTGGAGCTTTGTTCTCTTCTATTCTATTCTGTTCTGCTCTATTCAGTGTTTTAGCTTGACTCGGTTTTATTTAGCTTTGTTCGTCTCCATCCTGTTCTGTTCTGTACTGTACGCCATACTAAACTGCTCTCTTTCTGTCTATCTCCCTGTATGTGTGTGCGTGTACAGTGAGCCTCACGCTCGGTTCTACGCTGCTCAGATTGTCCTGACCTTTGAGTACCTGCACGCTCTGGACCTGATCTACAGAGACCTGAAACCTGAAAATCTGCTCATAGACCAACAGGGCTACATACAGGTAAATAACACCTGATTCAGTAACATACAAACTTACTTACTCAAAACGTTGTTGGCCAACTACAGTTTGCTAGTTTATTCGTAAACGTGTTGCACACACGAGGCCTAAATGAACCATTATTCATCAGTGGGATTTTACAGGTGATGCTAAACAATGCCAAACTGTTAAACATGCAGACCGGCCCAGTTCTGTGTGTTTGCTGGGGATGTTCCTCAGACCCAAAGACAAGCTTACAGCCAAACTGCGTATTGTGCACTGAGTGAACATCTATGCTGATGCAGTTGAATGTATCAGTTCTGCAACTATACCCGGAACCCAAGGTGATGTGTTGTTTTGCCAAAGATGCTCCGTTTATAATAATGAAAGACAAATAAAAGCTGCAAATTCTCACATTTGGGAATCTGGAACCATCAAATCACTGGCATCTTGACTTAAAAAATGACTAATAATATTATTTAATAATTATAATAATGATTATTATTCTATTATTAAAATATTTGCCAACTAATTTTCTGTAACTAACTGATTAATCGACTAATTGTTGTATGTACAGTAAGTACAGCCATGTAAGCTAGCTAGCTAGCTAATGTTTGTTGTTGATACAACAAAGCAAGATTTCGTTCATGTCATATTCACCAACATTTCATAAACACAGTGTTACTCTTTGTGCATTGCCCTTCAAGCTGTTTATCATTTTATACAGCAATAAAACACACAGCGAGAACCCGCAGTTGCTGCTAGGTCAGGCTGTGTGCACCACTTCACATGAGTAAGCTTGTACTTGGTGGTCACTCGTGTAACATGTGACTCAGGGTAGATATGAAATGTTGTTACCATTGTTATAATGGGCTGCCACAGGTGGTGGCTAAAGGCTACGGCGCATGTGATGCAGAGGTAACACCGGCCAGTGACAGACTGACTGCCGTTAAGTGTAGCGGAAGTACAGCTGCCAGTAGTCAGAGCTATCCGAGCTAACCAGCCATGAGCAGCTGCTATCAGACTGTTGGAAACACAAAGAGTCCGCTGGAGCGTCGACAGTCACTAGAAGCACATTCACAGCTGCTTGTTAAAGGTTCTGTGTGGTACCTGTGTTGTAATTCTTTGTGTGTCTGTGAGGGAGTTTCACCCTGGCGTTTTATAGGAGTGGGTGGCCGGGTTTTAACCAGAAGAGGGAGGTTCGCTATGATTCTATTAACAACACTACTAACCATATAGCTGATGAAAGTGGTTTAGGGGGAACAGTCAGGACTATATTGGTGAATGTTTAGATAGATCCCAGAAATCCAATCAATTTAAAGATGCTCAGGTCCCACTCTGCCACGTGTGACGTCTCCATGGCGGGGAGGGGGTCGTATTCTTTACTCTGCGACATCTGTAGTTGTTTCATCATCCTCCTGGATCCACATTCTTCACATATATTTTATAATCTTCACGTATCAGAAATCGTGTCCTCAAAATGTATAAATAATGTGATTTTGTTGGTTTGTTCTTTACGCTCAACATCTATTGCATGTCTATACGTCCTGGGAGAGGGATCCCTCCTCTGTGGCTCTTCCTGAGGTTCCTTGAAGAGTTTTTCCTCACCTGAATGGACGGTCAAAGGGCAGAAGGTGTTGAATGTTGAATTGTAAAACCTCCTGTGGCTAGCCCTTTTTGGCTATAAATAAAATTTGACTTGACTTGAGGGGTTTGCCCCACCTGTTAATCTGTGATGTCACACAGACATGGAAGTGTGTAAACTGTGAACAACCACCCAGAGAGTGCACAAGTTCAACTGTGATTGCAGTGTGTGTTTGTAATGATCTGTATTTGCTGGTGGCTGCCTTGCCTTGTAGTACATATTCTGCTGCCCTCTAGTGGAATACACTCAAACAACATGTAGTGACAAATTCCCTCGCTGCTCCAGGGATCCTTGCTCTTCTTCCTCTCTTTCACTGTCTGTCATCTGTGTCTCCTTCCTTCTGCCTTTCGTGTGCTAAACCTCAGCCAGGCACTCTGATAGTATGTCAGAGTGCCTTATTGTCTATTTGTTCGTCCTCTTACTCTCTTTCTCATTATTCGTCATCACTCTTTCTTTTACTCTCTCAGGTGACAGATTTTGGCTTTGCCAAACGTGTAAAGGGCCGGACCTGGACACTGTGTGGCACCCCAGAATATCTGGCCCCAGAGATTATTCTCAGCAAGGTGAGCCACCATTGTTCTCCTTTAGTATCTTGTGAATTGTCATATGAACAAACAATGATATCAGCCTTTTGCACAAAGTTATATAATAGGATAGCTGTTCATTGAGGTGGTAGAATTGTAAGACCCGGTTGCTGTTATTTCAAGTGTTATTTATGGTCCTACCAGAACCAGGACATGGTTCTAGGGAAAACTGATGCTGCTCATTTGGGTTTTTAAAACTACTCGGAGCATGTGGGTTTAAGGAGAGCACACACAGCTCAGATGTTCCTCAAAACAAGAAGTAACATCAGTCACAATTAACTATTGCAGCTAAAAGTGGTTGTGAACAAAGCTGTCCAAATATTTCACAAAGTTTGGCTACCAGCGTCCGTACGCTGCAGCAAACAAAGCTAAATCCTGTGCTTTCTTTTGGTCAGAAATGTGCAACATGTGACAGCAATCATCATCACATCTTTATTTATATTTTGATTAATGTTATTGAGCGCTACTTTCTCTCTGTGAGATGCCCTCAATTGGTTCTCATCTTCAAGATAATATCAAAAAAACATTTTGACTAATTCATTCCTGCCACTGACATGCTGTATGCACAATCATGTCTCTCCGCTCTGAATCTCTAGATGGGATGCACAGTGTTAAGATGAGTATAATAAGATGCAGTTAAACTGGAGTATAAGATTAATGAAGTTAAATAAAGCCCGAAAAAAACGAATTAAAACGAAAAACAACACTTTGTTTTCATTTTATCTTGATAAACTGTCTATAATTGTGTCTCTTTTCTCCCCCCAATACCCCCAGGGGTATAACAAGGCAGTAGACTGGTGGGCGCTGGGCGTACTCGTATATGAGATGGCAGCAGGGTACCCTCCTTTCTTTGCTGACCAGCCCATTCAGATCTATGAAAAGATCGTATCGGGGAAGGTGAGTCTCTGATAACCACTTTGTGCTACGTTAAGTATCTGTTTGTGAGTACCCAATCCTCATCCCCAATCCCTCACAGCTGTGGTTTATGTTTACATTACATATTTACTTTTTCAGTTTTGGGTCAAGCATGCCTCTGTACACTATATAGGCAGGTATTTTACATGATATGATAGACAATATTGTCTTCGGGTACTCTGCTGACTGCTTTGACTTTAATTTAAGGCTAATAAAGATACAGACATGTATTGCATTATTGCTTACATATTATTTCAGTCTTTCTTTGAGTTTTGAAGAAAGGTCAGTCCTAATAATGTGCCTTTCATTTGTGAAGACACTTTTTAATGATTCAGTTATGGGTCAGGGATACACACATTGGGACAAACACAGATGCACAACTATAGATGCACAATAGGTGCCCTTTGCACAGCGCCCCCCCCCCCTCCATCTTTTGCTGCTCTAGGCTATCGCTTATGTTGCCTGTTCCAAGCACAACCACCTCAGTTTATTCTTTGTCATTGCTGTGCTATTTTAATGCATATGTTCTGTGTGTTGTTGTGTTTTTTTGGGCCGTGATTGTAGATCATTTTACAGCCAGTTTTGATGCTGTGATTTCTACTTTCGTAGAACTTTCTTTTGGTAAAGTTTGAGTTTATGTTCAGCCATGTTGGATATGATATATGATATATATAAAATATGAGTTCTTATTGTATTTATTCCAGACCATGGGTAGGCAGCCTGTGGAAACCGCATGTAGCTCTTTAGCCCCTCTTCAGTGGCTCGCTGTAAAATGTGCATCATACATTACGTACTGACCTGCTGCCTTTTCCTCTTTATTTTTCTGGACCTCAATAGCGGTGGCTATGCATTCCAAAGAAAGAGAGGTTTCTGTGTAGAGAAGTTAAATAGTACATGGACGGGTTTGTTTGCTGTCACCAGCAGTGTTGGGCAGTAACTCATTACTAGTAATTATATTACAGCACTAATATTACTTTTCCCAGTAACTAGTTGTGTAAATAATTACTAATGCATTTAAGTAATAATATTATAGTTACTCCTCCAAAAAATAATTAGTTACAATATAAATTTTGTTGTCACCCTCTACTGATTTAAAATCCAACAACCAATCACATCCTTGGATTTATTTTTGTAATCGTGGAGGAAACTAGTTTGGAAGATGGAAACATTTACATTACTTTGACTTTAATAAACAAAACTGGACTTTAATCGTTGTAAGGCTGAATTTTGGGGAGAAAGGACACAATTACAAAATTTCTGGGGAGTAGCAAAAAAGCTAGAATTAATTACTGTTAGCAGGGAGTAATAAGTAAAGTAATTATATTACTTTTTAAAAGCGTAATGAGTAATATATACATTTTTTGAGTAACTAGCCAAATACTGGTCACCACCCATTCTGCTAGTTTACTGGTATTTATTAAGGTATATACTGTATTTGCATTATAGTGTCGAATATGTTTTGCAGCTCAAGATAGGTTTCTGCGGGTTGCGTTCCAGACAAACCCTTCTGATGTCAGAGTTGTAAAATGCATCACTTCTTAAAGGTTAGAGAAGCAGGCTTGGACACCGGGTTTTATCCTTGCAAGTGAATAGGCAGTCCTGTGTGAGTATGTGGCAACAGGGCATTGTCAGCCATACTTCCCTGCTTCAATAATGGCTTCAAAAAAACTTCCTTTGTGCCAGAGGACAGCAGACGTATAAAAATAGATATTTATTTGAATGTGTTTTTTTTTTTCCTGCGAGTTTTGCATTTTTTCCAACATTGTTATTTGTGATTTGTCACTCCAAACAGTGACACCTGGAAACTGGAGGGGAGATGAGATAGATGAGGCATCAGTTACTTATGACATACTTTCTGTACGGATTTATTCAAATAGTGAGAAATTCAGAATGACAAACATCTGGTCACACTGCTGCATCTTAAAACTTTACTGCTGCTTCATTCTTCTTCTGGTCTTCTGTCTCAGGTGCGTTTCCCATCTCACTTCAGTTCAGACCTGAAGGACCTCCTGAGGAACCTATTACAGGTAAAAAGCAAACATAATATGTTAATCATATGTTAATAATTCATCTGGCTGTGTGTTCTGAATTTATTATAATGTAAAAGTGAGATAAATGTCTTGGTGTTATCCCAAGGTGGATCTCACAAAACGTTACGGGAACCTCAAGAACGGGGTCAACGACATCAAGGGACACAAGTGGTTTGCAACCACTGACTGGATTGCCATCTACCAGAAAAAGGTATGTGTGCCTGTGTGGGTGTGTGTGTGTGTGTGTGACCTCCCCTTTAGTAAAGTTTCCATCTCAACTGGTGCTTTTAATTGTCTTCAGGTGGAAGCTCCCTTCGTCCCCAAGTTCAAAGGACCAGGCGACACCAGCAACTTTGACGACTACGAGGAGGAGGAGATCCGCGTCTCCTTCACTGAGAAATGTGCCAAGGAGTTTGCAGAGTTCTAGAGTTAGAGAGGGAGAGAGGAAGAAAGAAGGAAGTAGGGAGAGTCAAAGGTAGGCTGGTCAAGTGGGAGACGTAAGGAGAGAGTACTGTCTCCTGTCCAATCACAAGCACCAGCTACAAAAAGAGGGAAATGGGATAGAGAAGGGAAAAAGAGCAAGGAGACTGATAACCAGCAGTGTTGCCTTTTCTGTTGCGTTTCTGTTGTATTTTATTTATTATTCTGTCTTATTTATGGATCCCTTTATAATGAAGGTGTGCTTCAGATTCATGGGTGTTGGAAACCGCCCCCCCCACACACACACACACACACTTATTTAGAGTTGCCTCTGCGCATTTTCACCCAAGATCTTCCCTGCTCTTTTATTGTTTCATTCATCATTTAGTCACTTTTGGGCCACATCATAGTGAAATCAGTCGTCTGTTCTGATCCGCTGCAGTCTGTTGGTCTTTACCTGCAGCCCATTGAGTCGTACAAGTTGAGGTCTCAGCCTGCACAAGTTTCTGAAATTTAAACTGCTAAACCGGCTAACTTGCTCTTTCCCTGGTGAGCAAGAGGAGCATTAAAGTGAACATTTAAACAACTCACACGCATAAGCACTTCAATAACTTTTATGTTTTTGCAGTCACAACTTTCATTTTCCTTTATATATTTAAACCATAACTGTTTCATACCGTAGACGGCATACTTAGAGTCACTGGTACGATTGGCCAAAAGAAAAAACGGTGCGTTGTGTGCTCAAACAAATTCCGGACCGAGACAGATACAGAGGACACTTACAGGGGGAAAGGGTCAGTTAAGTTTACTGTCTGACTCCATCTATTCTTCTTATCATTGTTAGCATAGCCAGACTTTGTGCATATCTACAGCACTCAATCTTTAAACGTTACTAGATACTTAGTGGCTCCAACGATATCACATCCTGCTAACTAACAAGGAAATGTGCATAGGGAAAGGGAAATATCTCAGTTTTAACGGTGTTGTGAAAGAACACCATAACATAATGGTATCTCAGGTTTGAACATATCACACATTTTAGCATCAGGATTAGCAGGTAAAGAAAGATGTGTGAGACATTTGTTTATGATATAGATTTGGGAATTTAACGTTCTGGTTAGCACTAAGATGAACATAAGAAAATATTTAGACTTTTAATTTTCTGCGTATTCCACAGCTTCCCCTTCGAGAAGATTTTGTTTCGCTAACAGCTTTGTTTGGTCTTAAAAGCACTCGATGTCTATGCTCAAAGCTCACTCACTAGTCAAGTTGATTTGACACTTTGAATCAACCGTTTGTCCCCGGCCAACTCCAACTAAAAGACATCATCTGAAGCAGACTACCTCGACCTGCCTCTGGCTGTCGGTCACCAGAGCCCTGTGACCAGTCTTTCAAGGTTGTCTGGATAGTGTGCTTTAAGGTCTTTTATAGAAATCTGTGTTCATCTTCCCATTTCTCCTCCCTCTTATCACTTGCAAAGTTCGACCACACTCCATATTGACAGTCTTACGTGTGACAGCAAAGCCATTCTCATCTCTTGTGTTCACATGCACAGTTTTTGTTCCGTTTAGTTTCTAATGTTGTAAGTTGGTAACGGGTCGAGCACCTGGAGTTGAAGATAGTGGGAATAGCACTGAGAAGAGACAACAATGTTAGTGCTCGGTATACTGCCTGCCTATATTAAGTACATGAGGCATAGCACTTCAGTGTTCAGAGCCTCCTTAGCTCCTGAACTGGTGGTCGTAGAGCTCAACAGTGAGATTTGGAAGTTAAAATCCTGTTCATATTTTAAGTAGGCGATTTCGAATTTTTAGCCATTGTGTCGTCCATCCAAGCTAGTCCGTATGATATCAACCTTGTGTGAGGAAAAACACATTCTAGAGAATCACTGCAAGTCTGTGAGGGCTTTGAGCTTTGAATGCTGGCTAGTTAGCTAATGTTAGCTAACGTTAGCTAACATTAGCTAACATGAAACTGCATGAGTCCAGTGCAATGGTCACGATTCATCTCATTGTTGGCCGGCTCGGCTCCACGCTTAAAGCTCTTTATAAAAGGAGTTTAAATGGAGTAAATAAAATGGGAACTGACTTCCGGAGCCGTTCTAAAAGTGGGCGGTCACTGTTGAGCTCTATCGTAGGTCATTCTGAACTGAACAAGTGAAACCAGGTAACACCAGTGTCTGTTTCAAATATTCAAAGGCCTTCTTCACAGCTGTACTTCAATGTGCCATCATGGTGAAAATATTCTAAATTGGCTCATACAGACACTCTGGTTTTTCCATGATCATTTTACAATCCTGATATTTTTGAATCACGAGTCCTTCCTGTCCGATATGAGAAGAATAACAATTGC